AGCATTATAGTTCTTATAGTTTTCAGTAAGTAAATTAATTATACCCTTTACTTGGGAAGAGGTAATATAGATTCAGTGTAAATTTTTTAAGTGATTTGGAAAATATTCTATTTTTGAATTATGATGTGTCTTAGTGAAGATTTCTTTAATTCATTATGAATTCATTGGGCTTCATAAATCTTGGCATTCATTTCACCTCCTAGTTTGGTACTTTTGTTGTCACTATTGTCAACATTGCTTTTAATAAGCTTTTTGCTCCCTTTCTCTTCTTCTTCTGGGATTCCTGTATCCATATATTGGTGCTATATGTAATCTCTTATGCTCTTTTTTCACTACTTTTTTATTCTTTGCTGTCCCTCTGACCATTTAATCTCAAATAAATTATCTTTAATCTCACAGATTCTTTCATTTGATTAAGTCAGTTGTTTAGTCTTTATTAATTTTTTTCAGTTCAGACACTATGGTTTTGTTTGCGAATTAGAACTTCTGTTTGCTTCTATTTATGTTTCTACTTTGTTTGAATTTTGCCTTATTTGAATCTTACCTTGTTACAAAAATATTTTCCTGATTTTGTTTACTTATTTGTATTCTTTAACTTGCTTAAAGAAAAATATTCTGAATTATTTGTCAGGCATTTATGAGATCTCTATTTTTTATAGCCTATTGCTTGTGATTCATTTTGTCATTCAGTAGTGTCATTTTTCTCTGAACCTAAGGAAACTTGTAGTCTTGAATTGGTGCTTTTACATTTTCAGCAGTCACTCTATTCTGTACAAACTGAGTTCAAAAGGGAAAACTTTTCCCCAGTAAGCCCAGTCAGGGATTTTGGGCAGGCCATCAGACAGCACCACTCACAGGCTTACTCACAGGGTCTAAAGGTGAGTGGGATTATTGTTTGCATCTAAATTAGAATTGGGTATTCACTTGACTTTAATTTCCCCATGGACGAGCTCGGAAGGAGAAAAAAGTGTGTCTCTGCCCTGTGTGTCATGGTATTTAGAAAAGAGTGACTTGGGTAGAGTAAAACTATCCTTCCTACCCTCTTCAGTTCATCTTATCTAATTCCTGTGCTCCACCTGAGTACTATAACCTCTCATTTGGAATCCAGAGCTCTTATAAATGCTCATGGATATTTGTGCATGGATGGTTATTTATGTTCATGTTCATTGAAGGGATTCAGGCTGGAATCTTGTATTCCACCATCTTTTGACAGGATAATCACATGTGAACAGGTCAAGATAGCTTTGCGTTCACTCAGAGAAGTACTGGCTGAATCTGTCATACCCATAAAGCACCAGGAAACCCAAGAAATAAATTGATTATGAAATACCCATTTACTCTCAAATAGTGCATGGAAAAATGTGGGTATTGAGTGCCACATATCTCTCCAGGAGACACCAGAAAATAATGCATAGTGTGGAGCCATGGTTTTTGGTTTACTGGTGGAAAATCAAACTTACAATCAAGAAAAAAGAAAGACAATTTTACTTAAGTCAAATTTATGTTTATAACCTGAGGAATAGAAATTCAGAACCTCTGGAAATGTCCCTACTGGTCAAATGTTAGACATGTACTTTTGTATATTCTTGAAGAAAATAATTTATATATTATATTGAAAGAATATAAGTGAAGTCACTCAGTCATGTCCAACTCTTTGCAACCCCATGGACTGTAGCCTACCAGGGTCCTCAGTCCATGGAACTTTCCAGTCAAGAGTACTGGAGTGGGTTGCCATTTCCTTCTCCAGAGGATCTTCCCAACCCAGAGATTGAACTCAGGTCTCCTGCATTGCAGGCAGACGCATTACCATCTGAGCCACCAGGGAAGCTGTCATTATACTGACAGGTTGGCATTGTTCACAAAGTTCATCAGAGATGTTTTAGTTATGTATTTACAAAGTGATGCTTCAGGCCATATGACATCCTGTATAGGATGAAAATGTAATATCAATGTTAAAAATTACAAGGCTGTAATTTCTTCAGCTGTCTGAAGAAAGGGACCACTTTTTTCAAAGATTGATTGCATTTTCCTGATTTGAAGAGGTCTGTTTAATGTTCAATGGAGATGCACACTGTACTTTGGGAAAGATCAACAACAAAGAGGGCATGATGCTATTTTTTTTTCTTAGTTTGATTGCTCTGCCCTAGAAAAATTTATGATGTTTTCCCTTCACATCTTCCCCCTTTTTGATCATAACTCTTTTGATTAAAAGCATTAAGATATCAAGCATGTGGTCCCTTGGTGCCAGAGTGTTTGCTTATCTGTCCTAAATCCATCAATGCCTTTTATACTGGGTATTGTTAGCCCAGTTCTTTCTTGCTCTGAAGTGTATTATGCAGGTAGGATGCTAGGCAAGGACTGATATGAGTTAAAGTGTCTGACAGAACTCATGCCAATTATGTCTTATATGGTCATTGTTCAAGTCCACTATTTTATATATACATCTAGATATAATCAGTAGTTTCAATTTAAGTATTATTATTTCTATCATCTTAGGGCTTTAGGATTTAGTAAATTATTTAAATATTGTAAATAAGTATAGATGTATATACTGACAGAGAAATGTTTTTGAGATTATATATTTGATCAATCATCTTGACTTTCTGTATGATCACTGTGTTTTTTCTCTGACAATAGACTTAAAGCAAGCAGTGATATATATATTGAGTAACTTGATAGCTAAGGAAAGAATAATAATACATATTATGAAAATAATAATTGTCTGTATAACAGAGCAGAAAATGTTGCCTAGTCCTGAGGGGAGCCTAATAAACAAATAATTCAAAGAATCAGTCTTTTTTATACCTCATAACTATTTTTCCTTTTGAAAAAATGTTTTGTAGGCTTGTTTCAACTTACCCAGAGCTGCTGATGAAAGTGCAACAACTTGTGTGAACAATAACACACACAACCTGTTGTATGGTGAATAGAAAATATAAGGCAATGACATTATCTAATAATATGTGGGCAAAATGATTAGGGATTTCTGTTGTGCTACAATACTCTTCGTGGTTTTTCAGCCATTTGACCAATAGTGGTTGATAGAATTTTAAGCATATCCCCACTTATACCCCTGTGGTAGAAACAAAGCTTTCTAAGTGTTTTTCCCACCAGATATCTTGGTATCCTGATAGCATGGATCTCTTGAATCTGTAATAGGGAGAGAAAGGAGGTTCATTTGTCTCTTTGCAAATAAACACAGGGATAACATAAAATTCCAATAAGCATAAACCTTCCACTTGCCAGCTATTAGGACATTTATATGCCCAATCTGGAGAGAGTGAGTCATTTCCAAAACTGCATGTGAGGACAAAAACTGGGGCTCACAGATGATTCCTCCCAGAGTGCTTTCACTGGGAGTTTTGTTCATTGAAAGCTATGTTAACATGATATTAAAACATAGAACCCTTTTTTGCAGGCTTTCCAAAAGCTATCCATATGAAATTCAATATGGGAGAATTGATGACAGAAATTATTTATATTTTTCTCTTTAAGACATGTGTTAATCAAGTAAAGGGTGGAGTGAGAGGGTCCTAGGCTAAGTCAAGCTGGTTTCTAAGAATGGAGGGTAAAGTCAGACAAGAGATATTATGTTAATATGTTGGAGAATTTGAACAAAGGATATGACCCTTGTTTTCCTTGGCACACCTGAGAGGTAAAGAATATTGCTGCTCTGATAATAGGAGGATAGTGATAACACTTCAACCAGGACTTTCACTTGAGCTGATTGATATTTATTGAATGCAGTAGTGGGATCTGTTTAGGAAAATGATGAATCCCTAATATGAATTGAAATTTGTTCTTACAAATTAACTTTCTCCAACCTCTTTCAGTAGAACTATGGGATACAGTGAGTAGAGAATAAAATCTCATCTGAGTTTTATCACCTAATGTGACAGTTGAAGTGACTGCTTAGGATGTAAATTGAGTATGTGCCAAGTGAGGGGATGGTTGCTAGAAAGTCTTTGGTATTTCTAATATCTAGTAATGAGACAAAGTTTTGACCCACTTATTGTATAACTTTACAATTTCCTTGATCTCTGTTGACATCTCCAGGTCCTTATTGTTGAATCCCTAGTATACCAATATTAAATCATTTCCCTAGGGTACACCCTAGAAGGAATATGAATTATTTCCATTCAGTATAGTGTAAGGACTTCAGAATCCCTGGTGAAGTCTCAACTAAATCTCTGAAATATATTTTCCTTATACTGAAGAAAAGAATGTTACTGGCAATTACAGGCCTAGAGTGAAAAGGAAATGAGATCTTCTGACTTTTAATTTGATCTTGTCATTCAGAAAACACGTTTTAAGCATATTGAAATATAAATGCAAAATAGTAGAACTTATGCTGAATGACAACTTCAGTTAGTTTTCATTTTTATTATTGCATACAAAAAATCATTTAAATGTATAGCATATTAATAAAAATTAAAAGCTTTTTAAATTAATAGGGAAAATGCATAATGAAGAAAAAAGAGAGAGGCTGAAAAACATGCATATACATATATATATACACACACACACATATACATAAACATATACATATGGATATACAGATATTTGCAAAAAAGATTTGTGTAAACATGAGTGGTTTTCTCCTCTAGGTTAATTTTAGTCCATGCAAATTTAATGATAAAATAAGATTTTAATAATTGTATGCTGATTAATAATAATAATTAAAATCTTATTTTATCATTAAATTTGCAAGGACCAAAATTAATCCAAAGGCGATTTTAACTGTTGTATGCCGATTAATGGGGCTTCTCTCTGTTGGTAAAGAATTTGCCTGCAATACAGGAGACCTGGGTTCGATTCCTGGGTTGGGAAGATCCTCTGGAGAAGAAAATGAGAACCCACTCCAGTATTTTTGCCTGGAGAATCCCATAGACAGAGGAGCCTGATAGGCTCCATGGGGTCACAAGAGTCAGACATGACTAAACCACCATGCTGATTAATAAATTTGTATTTAACATCTAGGTCTCATGGAAAAACTGTCTTTACATTTTCACAAAACAGATTCTCTGAATTGCTCTTCTCAAGGCCCCCATCACCTCCTTGTTTCTCATGCTATAGATAACAGGGTTGAGCGTTGGGGTAAGGATGGTGTAGAAGACAGCAAGAACCTTGTCCTCTGTTGGACTACGCAGAGATTTTGGACGGAGATAAGTGTAAGCAAATGGTGCAGAGTAGAAAGTTACCACAGTGAGATGGGTGCTACATGTTGAATAGGCCTTCTTCTTCCCTTCTGTTGAGTGCATTCGATACACAGCAAGGAGAACACGGCCATAGGAAAATACAATACAAGTGAAAGGCAACAAAAGAAAGATGATGGTGCTCACAAATACTGTGTACTCATAGACCCAGGTGTCCATGCAGGCCAGAGTCAACATGGCTGGAACATCACAGAAGAAATGATTGATGGTCCTGGATCGGCAATAAGGGATATGGAGAGCATATACGGTGTGGGCACAGGAGTTGATTGAGCCCAGGAGCCAAGATCCTATTATCATAAATACACATACTCTTCTACTGATTTTGATGGGATAGTGAAGAGGAAAGCAAATGGCCACATAACGATCATAAGCCATAGAAGCCAAGAGCAATCCTTCTGCACCTGCTAAAGTCAAGAAAAAGAAGCTCTGTATCCCACATGCAATGAAGGAGATAGACTTGTTTCCAAATAGAAAATCATAGGCCATTTTGGGTACAATGTTGGAAATGTAGGTCAGGTCCATGAGAGAGAGCTGACTGAGTAGAAAATACATGGGTTTCTGAAGTTGGGTGTCCAGAAAGATGAGAAGGATCATGGAGAGGTTACCAAATAGAGCCGTTAGAAAAATGAGAACAATGAGAATAAAAAGAAATAGGCCAATTCTTGAAGATGGGAACAACCCCAGTAAGACGAAATAAGTTGATGTTTGATTATAATTTTCCATGTGGCATTAATATAATTTTTCCTAAGGCAGACACAAAAGCAAGAAAGTCAAGTAAGCTATTTTGAAATTGTTGCATGATTAAACTGTACTATTTAACAATTTACAACTCTTAAATGAATAACTGAACCTATTAATTTTGGAAAAGCAGAACTTTTTTGTTTTTTTGATCAAGAGACTAGAACTTGAAAATACAAACATTTTGGCCTATGAGCTTTTGCAGGAAATCTTTAAAATTGTAAAAATTTTATATTTTGACATCATTAGGATAAGTATGCTTTACTACCCTATAAAAACTCAAGTCACATCAAACTTAGGTAACATACTCAAAATATATTCTTAAGAAATCATGCAAATACATGTTTTCTAATTATATTTTGAATAAATGTTTATCACCATTAAGAAATGATTTATTTTTCATATTCAAACCCTAAGGCTTACCTGTAAATCTGTAGTAGTCTATCACTTATGTTGAGAAGCTATTATTCTTTCTTAAGTTTTTTTTGAACAGAAATATTAAATCAAGCTTCCCTGAATTCAGTAACATTATTTGAGTTCTCTATTATGAAATCAAGATGAATATCATCAAGTACCATCTACACAAAATTATGATCTTCCTCTTGAATGAGATTCTGAATTCTGTAAGTAACGAAGAGCATTTGCCTATATAGCTCTAGTTCATACTCATTGTAGTTCGATAAATCTGTGCAAAATCTCAACAATAACATATATTTTACATCTCTCTGCTTCTCTAGCACTTATATGATAAATAAATTTCATCATACACATTTAATTTTAACTTTTATTATTTTATTTTAAAGCTCCTCCCAATTCTGACTAAAAAACTTAAGCACTTATAATCTCTCCCTGTTAAAACACAGCTATAATTGTGATTAAAAATATATATTATAAACTAAAAGAATGTGGGTGAACATGAGGCACAATAAGAGATGAAATAGTTTAGGATCCTATGAAATAATAAATTTGGAAATAAAAATGGTCAGTGTTTTAAATGGAGAAAAGAAAAATGGCATCCAAGGGTGCTTCCTCATGGTGGGAGGAGGGATTCTTAGGACATATTGTAAGGGAACAAGCCATACATAATTATTGTTATTTTAGTTATAATAATTGTTCTAGTGCCAAAATTGTTAGAATTTTAAGAAAGACTGCTACAGGAAAGACTATGGTTATGTGCACATACACACACACACAAATACTCACACACAGAAAAACCATGCAATGAAATACAATGATTTAAAAATGCAAAAAAATGCATTTAAAAAATAAGAATTATATCTTCAAAGAAGTACAATACATTACTATTCTACATTATAAATATTATTAAATATATAAAATAAATTGCAAGGTAATAAAGTCTCTAGCAAATTAAAATAATAACGTTAATTGACAAGGAAGACTAAGTGAAACGTTCAATGACAAAATGAAAAATATCTAGCAGAATAAAAAAAGGCAAAAAAATCATAAAATTTGTCTTTTAAAGGGCATATGAGTTAGAGAATATAAGGGAAGAGATATAAACTTATTATCACCCTAGAAATTCATATAGAGAAAGTGACTTAATATTATCAAAGAAACACGTTTTTCAGAATTGATATAAATGAACCACAATATTCAAAAAGCATGAACAGAACACAGGAAAATAATTAAACAATACTCTTTGAAAGATATTTTCTTGAAAATTCTAAATGTCTTGAAAAGATTTTTTGAAAATTCTCAATGTTGCCTATAATTGAATGATCCTGAAAGTGTCCTGACTGAGAAACAGCAATAATGAGAATTATTGTATAAAAATACTAACTAGGGACTTCCCTGGTAGTTCAGCAGCTGAGACTTCACGCTACCAATCCAGGGGTCCTGGATTTGATCTCTGGTCAGGGAACTAGATCCACATGCCACAACTAAGAGTTCTCATCCTCCAACTAAAAATCTCACATGCCACAACTAAAGATCCTGCATTTCACAACAAAAATCAAAGATGACAAATATTGCAACTAAAACCCAGTGCACCAGACAAATAAATAAATATAAAAAATACTAACTAAAATGTCATCAGATTTTACAATAACTTATGTTTTTGTATTTTAGTAAAACGTACAAAAAGATGGAAAAATGCTGTCAGCATAGCCATGCCAGAAACTGTGTTGCAACTATGTTGGAAGGATGAGAAAAGAGAAAAGCATGAATGTGATTGTATGAGGGGTAGAAAGTTTCCCATCCACAGTAGCTAAAGTGTCAAGAGATACTATTTGATATTTATTATTAGAAAGCAAGTATATTGATGAAAAGTATATTGATAGTGGGCTATTGGGGCTTTACTGGTGGCTCAGATGGTAAAGAATCTGCCTGCAATGCAGGAAATCTGGGTTCAATCCCTGGATTAGGAAGATCCCCTGGAGAAGGGAATGGCAACCCACTTCAGTATTCTTGCTTGAAGAATTCCATGAAAAGAGGAGCCTGGCAGGCTACAGTCCACGTGGTCACAAAGAGTCAGACACCACTGAGCAACTAACACTTTCACTTTCATTGAGCTATTGAGATCATGTTGTTACTCTATTTGAATAAAATATTAAAGGGATGTAAAACTGATGTTGCAGTTGAAAATTGATCTCACAACTAACATTAGACTCAATGGTGAAAGACTAAAAGTTTTCCCTTAAGATCAAGAACAAGGCAAGAATGTCCACTTTTGAAACTTCTAAAGTTACAGTATTATAAATACTAACATTCTGGCAAGCAAAACAAGTTAAAAACACTGAAACTCTAAAGAAAGAATTAAAATTATCCTGCTTCAGAAGTGATATCTTAAATGTAGGAAATAAAAACTTCTTAGGACTAATAAACAGAATCATGAATGTTACAGGGTACATAATTGATTGTATTTCTATACAAATAATGTTAAATACTAAGAAGGAACTTAAAACAATAACATTTAACATATCATGAAAAAGAATAAAAGCCCTAGGAAAAAACAAAGAAATTACAAAAGATATGCACTAACAGTCACAAAACATTACTGAAATAAACTAAAGGAGAGATAAATGCCAGCACATGAGAAAACAGCCTGTACTCATGGGTTGAAAAACTGACTATTGCTAAGATGTCAACATTACTATAAGCAAACTACAGGTGCAATGAAATGACTTCCATAATTCCAAGAGAATTTTGAAGAAAGAAAATAATACATTTTAAAATCCAAATAAAAATCTTAAATACACAGAATAGCCCAAACAATCTTATGAAATAATTGAACTTATTCTTTCTTATTCAAAACTTACTACAAAGCTATAATATATATAAAAATGTGTAGTATTGGCAAAAACAAACATAAACCAAAACAATTCAGTAGAGATACCAGAAAAAAAATATATATATATATGGTCAAATGATTTTGAGAAGTGTCTCAAAAGTTCAGTTGAAATGTCTTTACAACAAATATTGCTAGAAAACTTGACATCCACATGCATATAAGGAAATAGGACCATTACTTTACTACATACACAAAAATTAACTGAAGTGGATGAAAAAGCAGATACAAAGCTAAAACTATACATTCTTAGAATAAAATGAGAAAAGTTTCATTATACTGAATTTTGCTGTGCAATCTTGGATATAATACCAAAAACATGTTCAATACCAACAAAAATATAGATACTGGAATTTGTCAAAATTAAAAACTTCTGTATGATGATGAATTTTATCAGAATGAATAAGCAGCCCACAGAATGGAAAATATTGATATATATCAGATAATGAATTGTAATAGAGAATATATTAAAAAACTACAATCAAGCAACAGAAAAAATAGTTTTCAAAGGTTAGATACATGTGAACAAATATTTCTTCAAAGAATATAAACAACTAACCAATTAACACAGGAAAATATAGTCATCATCAATAATTATTTGAGAAATTCAAAGAAAAAATACAATAAGATACCACATTTCACCTTTAGCTATGTTTTAAAAATGCAGAAAAGAGTAAGTGTTGGCAAGAATATGAAGAAATTACAATACATGCAAAGCTGGAAGGAGTGAAAAATGATATAACCACTCTGAAAAGTACTATTGCAAATTACAAAGCAACAACAACAGAAGTGTAAAATCAAAATATGGGTCAAAAATCTCACTTCTGAGGTTACATCCAAAATAAAAAACAAAATCTAGAATAGATATCTATACACTCATGCTCTTAGAAGCTTTATTTGCAATAGCTAATAGGTAGAAGCAACACAAATGTCTTTTGACCAATCAATGGATAAGCAGAAGGTGATTTTGCTACATTCTACAGCATGGATAAAGCTGACAGTGTGCTAAGTAAAATAAGCCAATCATGACAAGCCATACACATGATTCCACATATATGAGTTACCCAGTATAGTCAAATTAATAAAAGTGAAAGTAGAGTGGTGGTTTCTAGGAACTAGGATGTGAGAGGAATGAAGAATTAGTGTTTAATGGGTACAGAGTTTCAGTTGGGCAAGATAAAAATGTTGTGGATGATGTAGGTAATGGTTACACTATAATGTCAGCAAATTCCATGTTATTAACCTAGTACACTGGAAATAGAATTTTTTGCGAACAATAGAAAGTCAAAAATAGAATTCATATGTAACTGACAATATTTAATATATGGAACTTCAAAGATATAGTAAAAAACTTATACAAGGACCTGAACATGTGTAGAAGAATCAATCTTCAAATAATGTGTGTTGTCAGAATTTTGCAAAGGGAAAAATGGAAGAACAATTATTTTTTCATAAATGTCACTTGTATCCCACATGATGTAGAATATTGGACTGATTCCCCAGTATACAATTTATACTATAATTTAATTAATGACAAGTTATAATATATGAAAGCAATGATTCTTGTTACATGTATTTTATATAGGGTGTTTACAGCAAAGTTTCCTTTTGGTAATTAATATTATCACATTTTAAAAGAGAAAATAGGATGGGGAATACATGTAAATCCATGGCTGAT